AGATACGTCTATATAAAACATGTACCCACTATAAGTATTAATAAAAAGCTTGGACCAAAGAGGTCACCTTAATACCATAAAAAAAAATTTATATTTAAATATATACAGGTTGTAGTTTATTAACTTAAGCTTTTCTATCTATTTGTCAATTAGTCCTTCTTTAAGTCAGCTTATTTTTGTTATTCTCAAGATTTCTAATATCTAATTATATACTAACAAGTTCTGTGATGTAATGTGTTTTGAGTTATAGATTGCTAAGTTTTTTGTGATATACTCTATATTGATCAGACCTTTTGTTAGTATTTTGAGAACTTGGTCTAATATTTTGCAATCTACATATCTATGATTTCTATCTTCTATTTCTTTAATATGCTTTATGATATCTTTGTTATATGTTTTTGTTATTAACTTGTTTAGCTTAATTGTTTCTAGTAAACTATTTCATTCTATATGTATAGTTTATTTATTTTATTTATTTGCTATACTTTTCATATAATCTGAATTGATCTTCACAATAGAGTTACAGAGATTCTTTATAATTTCTATAAAATTTTTGTTTTCCAAACTATGTTACTTTTGAGTTTTTTTTTTTTGTCTTTTTGTTTTTTAACTAGGTATAACTTTTGCTGCTCTTTCTTTTTTATTAAGGGTTTAAGTGTTACTTTCTAATAGGTTTTGTACTTTTTTTTTTATTTTACTTTTTACTAATTTTTGGTTAAGAAATCTACAGAAGAGAATGTAAAAATCAAGATCTTTGAAGAGAATATACTTTTAGATTTAGCAATATTTGTTACTTTAAACATATTTTTTATAAAAACTTTTTTAAAATATATTGCTTAATAAATATGTTCTCTATATAGTAAAGTTAACAATTAGAAAATAAATAAATTTTAAAAATTCTGAAAAAAAATGAACAAATATTAAAAATGAACAAGTTTGGAACAAAAATTTGAATAAATTACTAATATTATCTAAAATTTTTTAAAAAATAACAACAAAATTTTTTGTTATTGAAAATATAAAAATATTTTTAAAAATACTAAATTAAATAATTATGTTTTTATAAGAATATAAATTTCAAAACAGATTTTCAACATTAATTTAAACCATACTATAATATATTTACTTAATCTCTGTTAATTCCACACTCTTGTATTGTTACTTCTTAGCAAAGTTACATTTAAAAGAAATATAATTAAAAATACAAAATTACTAAGTTAACTAAATTTTACATAACAAATGAAGACAAAAAAACAACACTAAAAGGCAATGATTCAGTAAAGATCATATATCAAATACATTGGTTTATTTAATTATTAATATATGTGCTGCATAGAAATTTTCTAATTAATGAATAATAATACATGATAGATAACTAACTACGCATATAATTTTTTTTTGTTCAGATATATTGAAATCGATATATATGTCTATGTGTGTACTAATGTTAGAAATGCCTTCAATAGTAAAATAGTAGTTATATTATAGAGATTACATAAGATATATAAGTTTATATTAGAGATAAGCTAATTATATTAACGATTATTAATTTTTTATTACGGTATATAATAGAAATTAGCTTATTAGCTATTAATATAAAACGAATTTATAAAGAAACATACTAATTCATCACAATAACGTTCAGTATAAATTTTAAATTTTATATTTAAATATTTAATTTGATTTTTCTTATTTTTATTTTTTTTGCATATTTTTAATATTTTTTTTTATTTTTAAAATTACAGTCCTCACCATTAATATTTTAAAAAAAAAAAATCAGTTTTTCTTGATTAGTCATCACTTTTCTGAAGTAATCAGCAGTTCGTGTAACCACTAATGTTGTATCGCTCACTTGATTTCTGAGCCTCAAAGGTCACATGCCCACACATTTTTTCCTTGCGATAGTTTAACCTTTCCGTGTAAACAAAAAATAAAACCTCACAATACAAATGTCTGAAAACATAAATCACGAATATTTTAATAGAAAATACTCAGAATGGAGTATCACAGAGTTCCTAAATGAATGTAATAAAGAACCATTCCGATTAAAATAAAAAGTCTTTGGATTGTGATTAGCAATAATCAGAGAAAACAACACGAAAAGGCACAAAAACTATATCATAGATATAAAAAGGCCAGTCTTTTTTTTTGTTGCAAATGTCGAGAAATAAAGTGGCATAGTGAGAACCTATTTGCTTCTTCACCATTTAAGCCTATTAGCCGAGCCACAAAACCAATATAAGGGCACAAGCAACCTATTTGCTTGCTTGATGTTCAAGCCTATTAGCCGACCTTGCATTGGACCATCTGACACAGGCGACCTACTAGCTTGGCTGATGATCAGATGGGAGAATCATATGTGCTATTTCTAAATAATGCTAATTTCTAATATTTTATTAAAGGATCTGCAACCTGATCACAAGATTGCAAAAGTTATGGGAACAGAATTGTTCTTATGAGAATATATATCTCCACAAGCCTAAATTTATAAACTGTGAAACTAACAATGAGGGACTGTTTATAATGGGGTCAACAGAGGGACAATAACTACTAATAATTCCAGTTTACTGAAGATAAAAACACACATCTTTATAAGTTATAAAATCTTTTATAATCACGACTATATTGCTCTTCATTGTATCCCTTAGAAAAGAAGGTCTCCTTTTGGGATGAAGCTGAGAGAAAGAAAAAAACAAGTACATTATGATGAAAATCAGGTTTCAGATTTCTCAGATTCCTCAGATTATCTAGAGCCCAAGAGGGTAAGTAATGCTGACATGTTTAGCTACCTTTAAACTTAACAATTGACTTTTTTACAATCTTTGATTCAGGTAAAAAGACAATCCAGGAGGAACAATAACTAGAAGAAAAATCCGAAGATGCAGAACTAATGAATGGAATGGAGGATGAGGAAGAAGAAAAGTCTGCAGATAACATAGATGAAATTGAGAATGAACTAGTAATATAATCAAATTTATTTTACATTATATGGTGAATTATTTATTAACATTTTTTCATGATGTAGAATCAATAGCTTTGGAACAGAAGTTATCTGATTCACCTGAAGAAACAATTAAAAATAGTACAATTGATCTGAATATCCAAACAGAATCTACTAGCAATTCGATCACGAATGATAATTTGTTAGAGGTTCAGAAGCAAACCAATGATAACGATAATGAAGAGAATGATCATGATGATAATTCCAATATTTCTTTGGTAGCTCAGACACAAACTAAAACTACAACCACTAATAACTATGATGATGGCAAAAAGTTTGTGTCTTCACTAGCATCGTGGATTGAAATCGTGTTAGGAGGCTTTATAAGTAACGAAGAGAGGTAATTATTTATGCTAATAATTCCAAAACAATAATTCTCACAATCGTTCAAATATATCGAATGATGAATTAGATACGTATGTTAATGAAACTATCTGGAATGGAAATAAATGGATTGTGTGTGACACTGATGTACGTGACCTCTTGATAAAATGGAAACAGGAGAAACTGCAACACGTACTGAGTAAGTAATTTATAAACAACGCTTTTCTATTCAATATGCGATAAATCTGAAACACATATAATGTATTATTGTTATCAAAAAATTTTAGTCTGGCGTTTTATGATATTATCGACATTACTCCGGGTTCAAATAGTGATTTTGTTCAATCACTACCAAATGATGCAGTGCAAGAAATAAAACAGTCAAAAATGTTTCCCACACCGAATATGAATAATGTGGATGAAATGAAAAACTATATTATTGATTTATTAAGATATCATTGTTTTTGTTATTTTTAATACAAAATATTTTGTTGCTTTACACTTAAAGTCTTATTATTTAGACAAATGAATTCTGTAATTTCATAGATGAGAGTTATTTGAAAACACGAGTCAATAATAAAACAAAATTCGTATGGAACTATCTGAATATTTTGTAAGAATCAAGGATTATTTTAATTAATGTGTTTCTTCGACTTTTCTCATACTCAATTTTTTTCTGTTTCTTAGCATTGAGTCATTTGAACGAGACAATGACCTCACAAATTACAATTTGTCTGAATTTGAATATCGCGAAATATTTCTTACCCCTCTGATCTGTAGTTTTTTCCATGGCACATACCGGGAAATGAATATTTATTTGTAGATATATTATGTTTTAAATTTCTTGATATCATTTTATTTCAGCAAAATTGTAATGTACTGGATGTACAGTACCTTCACCTAGCAGTGAGAAATATTTGTTTGCTTCAACAGAAGACTGTAATCAAAAAAAAAGATGGCGAAGACTATAATCTTGGCCACAAAATCGATATTATATAGTCTATAAAGCTAACTGATCTGGAATTCTCTATTGGAGAAATCGGTAGCCCACCGAACCAACTTGATCATTCACATTTCTTTAATAATAAGATTAAAATTGCGTAAATGTTAAAAGTTATTATAAATAAGATTGTGAAGAAGTATGGTGGAACGGGCATGGATTTGAGTTTAGGAAAGTTGTATGGCCTATATGTGTATTGCCTACATGTGTATTGTAAGTATTGCCAACTTTAAAATTGTCAATATTATATAAAACTAACATTCTCCTCTTACAAATAATAAAGTAATTGTATACGAGATGTCAATTCTGTTTTGTGGAATGGACATTTTTTGTGAAGTTATGCGATCGAAATTGCCCACGAATGAAGTTGAGATTGGTTTGATATTACGATCTGTGTCGGTGTTCTTTAAATTCAAGGTTTGTTTTTACAGATGCATGCATGTTTATTAATTATAAATGAAGAGGTTTTCTGCCTTTTTGCAAATTTTCAATTGTTATTAGGAATTGCTTGGAAAAAGTTTGGCTGACCAGAAAAAATATATTCATAATGCATATACCCGTACATCCGATAATAATGCAAAAGTACAACTGTTCATTACACTAACTGATTTGACGCCTGAAAAAAAGAAAGTACAACCAGTAGACGAAAAAAAAGCAATTGACCTTGACTTTCTGTTAAAATGTTTTTAATAAACTATTTAATAAGAACATTTTCTAATACTGGATAAGTAATTTAAATGTGTAATTACATTGTCAAATTGTAATGTGATCATATAAACGTTTTGGTATCTTGCTTATTGCATTATGTATAACTTGATAGCATGTATATAGTGTGCTCAGATAGCAATGTATGTAATATACCCAATAGCGTATATATAGCATACTTGATAGCGTACTAGTTAGCATATACTCTGGCTAATTGCCTCCACAAATGATGACATAATCGCAATCTGGTCATCAAACTCACGATAACTTTATAAAATCAGCCAACTAGCATACAAGTAACATTATTGAATTTGGGTTATAATAAAAAACACAGAAGGACTAGGCTATAGCGTCATAACCTAATTCAAATATTTCTTTACAACAGAAATCGATCAGAAACATTAAGCTGATATGCGGAAATTTATAGGTTTTGCATACCAACTTCGTACAGACAGTCAAATTCGTACAAATTGACAGTTAAAAATTTGTACATAACACTTTTAATTAAATCGCAATATCTCGTGACTTAGTAACTTAATTTATATAAATTTGGTATCATTTGATTCATCAAAATTAAATGAATCAAATAGTACCAAATTTATGTAATTTAAGTTACTAGGTCACGAGATATTGTGATTTAATTAAAAGTGTTATGTACGAATTTGACTGTCAATTTGTACGAATTTGACTGTCTGTTTGTATGAATTTGACTGTTAGTTTGTATGAATTTGACTGTTTGTTTGCATGAAGTTGGTATGCAAAACCTGTATATAAGTGATTAAAACATTATTGATATCGAATAGTGCTGCTTAAAGTAGGAAAACAAATGAATGAACATACTAACAAGACTTCTATGTAAGCTAGTAACAAATGTCATAAGTTTTATCAAAAACGGTCAAAAATTGACTATTTTATAAGCAAAAAACTCCAAGTGGCTTGACTTTCTAAAGGGTACCTATCAAAGTAATATATCACTCGAGTGACTTGAGTTTTGTGATTGACCCATCACTTGAAAGACTTGAGTTTTATGATCGACCCATCACTTGAATGACTTGAATTTTGCGATTCGCATGTCATAACCTGAGCTAAGTGAAAATAACATAATTATGTTATTTCCACTATTCGCAGTTGCCTTAACCCTAGACATTAAAAATGGGATTATTTGTAAAGGGTTAGGCCTACTCATTCAATCATTATGTGATGAATGAGCATGAACCAATTAATTATATTAACTAATGCTTATTAGCTACACCTAATAATTCGTCACATCCTTATCATAGAATATATGTCGCAAATCAAATTTTTCAAGGTGAAAATGCTGAAACTACGTTTTGATATTTCTATTATAAAAGCAGCTTTGCTCTGAACAGAACATAAGATACTATCAAAATTTTGTCTAATTTTCCATATCGAAATACTTCAGATTGGCAGGGCCGGAATTAACAAATTCTGCCCAAGATCACTAAACGTTTTACTAATGAAGTCATGGCCCACTCATTAAGAAAGCTGCCCAGCTGATAATTTGGCCTCCAAATGGTTGACTTTTATTGCTAAATGCTGGTCTAAATCTGATGAATCCGACTGTGATCTCCTTGTAAAAATACATTTATCGGGTTTTAATTATAGACATGGGAGGTCAGGTTATCGGTTTTGGAAAAATGTACTGTATTTATTAGTTTGGTATTTAATTTTATCAAGATGTTAAACATTAATTATAGCTTGTTTTAAAAATGGTAGAATCTGATATGCCATAATATTTATTATATTTTTATTTTTATCCTTAAAATGTAAATATGTAGCTGTGCAACATTGTCATGCAAAACCAGAAATGGGAGAAATTTATGCAGGCACTAGAGATGGGTATGCACAGGATTTTTAATATGATTCCAAAATAAGATTATCTGGCCTACATTACCATAATATCTAGCTAGCATTAATATAATATCTGACCTGCATTAACATATTTAACTAATTCCTAATTTAAATTTATTTGCATACCAATTCACACATATGTTTATTTATATATATGATAAGAATTTACCTTCTTTGCCATTGGTATCTTTTGCTTATATTACAAATATATTCTTTATGAATAAGTCATTCTTTTAAAAATAAATAACATTATGTGGAAGGCCAGGATAATGATGATCAGACCCAACATACAGGGCAGACTATGGTACCTTGCACAGCTGTGAGAGCCAAGCATACGGAGATTAATCCTATAGAAGACAATTTTGAAAGATCACTTACAACATCTTTAATCCCCTATGATCTTCATACATGCTTTAACAAATTCCTTTTTTATTATTATTTACTACTTCTCTCTCATGATCAAACTATCCAAACCCTAATTTAACATATTGACAAATATAACAACAACAAAACTGTACATAGTATCACATTCTCTGTTAATTCATCTTATAATGAAACCTACATATATCTTTCTAATAACACTCTTTTACCAGATCATACTGTTATTGTCCCATATCTTCTCTCTATATTTTATAATCTTCCTCTCAAATCTAACTCCTTCAATTCTACTTCCATTCCACCTGACTTATTTTTTGATAATTATTTTTCAACCCTTAACTGTAATTCTCCCCCACCTTTATCTAACTCAACTTCACATCATCTTAACTTAACTATTGCTACACACAATGTTAGAGGCTTTAATGAACCTACTAAAAAAGAGGCATGGCAAAACTACTGCCTCAACCACAACATATCGATTGCAAGCATTACAGAAACTAAAATCTCTGACAAAACTAACCTCTTCTTCTGTAATAATAA